ACGGCCCAGCGTGTACTCATCTAACTAAACGTTCATCTTTTGGCCTTTGAGTGTTTATGAGTATTTATTGGTATAAATGTCATACTGCTAACTAAGCCTGGTCCTTCATTATGAAATTTAAGAGTGAACTTTCAACATTCTTATAAAACTAAGACATTTCCTTTCAACAGATTCACAAATTCCTTTGTACTTAGCTCTTTTCCTTTTTGCCCCCCAAATCTCCCACTCCTGGCTTCGCCCTGTTTGTGCCTGAATGGCACAAGCACTGCACCATTGTATGCCGTGGTCTATGGGGTCGGCCTCAGTTTCACCCCATCTGATCATTTGCAAGGCCAGTGGCACTAAACTGGGTCAAGTCACCTCTGAACCTTTCAGGGACGGAATTGCCATGTTCCCAGAGCTTTGCCTGGAAGAAGTCCACCATGTCGAGACTGAGGGAAGGTGACCTGCTCCTTTGCCTATCCAGCTTCCCATCAAGGTTGTAATTTGTAGAGAATGGGCGGAGGGAGGAGGTATATTGGGCATATATGTCGACATTAAAATGCATTTACTATAATTCTGTAAAACCTGGGTGAGTGCACATGTGCCTACAGCTTCACGCTTTGTCTTCTCAGTTGCTGTGCAGTTTTGGGTCTTGTGTTTTCTTTTTTCCTGGAGCTTTTTGGGAAGTCTTCAGTGGTGAAGGAAGAATTTTAATTCATCTTGCAACTTTCCCAACTAAGAAACTTTAATGAAATATCTCCTGGTTTCTAGCTCTGAGATACAAAACGTGGAATCAAATGGAATCTGGTTGATGCACTAACCAGTTTAAGACCTGATTTCTCCCTCTAGGAACTTTGGAAAGTGAACTGACTCATCTTATACCTGTGTCTAGTTAATTTTTCCCTATTTATCTGAAAAACACTTATGGAATGTCCACCATGTTAGAGACACTGAAGTAGATGCGCATATAAGGATTTGTAAAGTACGGATGACCATAGACAAGCTATCATCTCATTGGATTTGTCTGCTCTGAAACATCCAAGGTATTCAGAAAACATCAGTAACAGACAGGAAGGCATGTCCAGAGAGGGCTTTAAAGCCAATGTAGCATATACACAGACATCAGCCTGTGGGCAGCTCTCCAGTGGAGATGGGCCCCGGGGTGTGCACAGAAGGATGTGCACAGTAGCATTGTTACCAGCCATTGACAGAGAGAGGACCCTTAAAGAAAGTCTAGCGCATCCATCCTGCAGAGTAGTTTGCAACTGTTAGGAAGAAAGAGATGGCCCTGCAGTGCCGCAGTACAAGCAGGCTGTGGTGGAGCACTCACCCAGCAGCTGAGGCCCTGGCTTCCTTCCTGAGCATCACCACAAAAAAATAAATAGAACATCAAAATGTTTAACAGCACATAGCATGCCGTAAGACTTTTTTTATGTTCTAATAACAGGTCTGGAAAGTCGTGTGTTTTTCCTAACCTTTTGCTGTGCTGTGTCTATAAAGGAATTGGGGCCATGGGGTACTTACAAGTTATTTGGTTTTTCTGTTTTGTATATTCCTGTGTGAAATTTTTACAACAAACATGCATTTGTGTATTTTGAATTTTCTTAATTTGTTTAGTTTCAAAATAATAAAGTATAAATTCAAGTTGCAAGACATCTGTGTCATATTTCCCAGAATTTGTTGTAGCCCCCCTTTTATGAGTACACTTCCAGGGGCCACTCGGGATTCCTCAGGGTCATGGGAAGAAGGCCAGGAAGAAGATTTCCTTTCTGCCTAGAGCTGTCTTGGTTCTATTGGAGAGTGGCTTGTCTTCGTCCAGCAGTATGATTTGCTCTCCACTACATGGGATACAAGATGTGTGGTTCAGAATTTTGAAAGATTTTGAGAGCCAGGTGTGATGGTGCACACCTATAATGCTACTTGGGGAGGTTGAGGCAGAAGGATCACATGTTCAAGGTCAGCCTGGGGCACTCAGCAAGAATCTCAGTTTAAAAAGGGCTGAGGATGTACCTCAGTGGTGGAGTGCTTGCCTAGCACGTTCAAGGTCCTGACCTCCATGCCCAGTACCAAACAAAACAAAACGTTCAAACTTATATTGCAAAGATAAGGCAGTTCCTTGGCTTTAGCCTGTTCTTTACCACAGATCTCCAAGAACTCAAAGAGGAAGATGTGACATATTAAACTCAATAAAAACACCTGAATTGTGGGAAATGATTCAAGTGTGTTGGTGTCCAAAACTTCTGGAAAACTATCTCTGCCAACTCAGACATGTTATTACTGGCTTCATAAAGTAGTGGTAAAGAGATCTGTAGACAGTTTTAAATAGCCAAGGTCACAATATTTGAGAGTTTGGGGGGATTATGAAATTATTGTTGTCCTAATGATATGAAGAGGTTCATTTTTATTAAAGCATTAATGACTTCTGTGGCTTTAAATACTAACATCCTAGGCAACAAAGGACATGACTTTTTGGGTGATCATGTTACAAATTAAACGTAGTAAGCATGCAGTGTGGCATGGGAGTGGAGGTGCTGCAGTCTTGGGGACTCTGGGCATTTTGACCTCCGAATTATAAATGTAGATTGGTGGGAAATTATCAACAGGCATTGCCTCCTTTACCAGGTTAATTAGAAACCTAGCTGCACTGAAGTGTCTTCAACAGACAGTGGCCACTTACTGAAATATGTTTTGTTTTGTTTTTTGGTACCAGGAATTGAGCCCAAGGGCTCTGAACCACATCCCCAGCCCACCCTCTGCCTTTTTTTTTTTTTTTTTTTTTCCCTTGATACCAGGGATTGAACTCGGGCACTCGACCACTGAGCCCCATCCCCAGCTCTTTTTATTTTATTTAGTGACAGGGTCTCACTGAGTTGCTTAGCGCCTCGCTTTTGCTGAGGCTGGCTTTGAACTCGAAATCCTCCTGCCTTAGCCTCCAAAGCCGCTGGGATTATAGATGTGCACCACCACACCTGGCTACATATTTTGTACAAAAATATGTTTTGTAAGACATGCCTGAAAATACATTAATTTCTACTCAGTGAAAAAACCTTTAATGTTTTAATAAAAATCTTGATATAATTCATTTCATAACTCAACTGGACTTTATGACTACATTGTAATCTGGATTATCTAAAATATTAAGAACCACCATTCCAAAAACTTTTCAAACCCATGCTCTGATATGTGCACATTAGTAATTGATCACACAACTGTAAACTAAGCTTCTTGTGACATGTCTTTGTAAAGATGGGCAATGACCTTACATGGTTCATACTGAGTACGGGAAACATGACAATTTTTATTCTAGAACCATGTGGTAGCCAGCTTCTAAGATGACCCTGGTGATCCTCACCTCCTGATAGTCCCACCCTCACACTGTCCTTCCAGCGTCTAAGGTTGTTGTGTGTGAACATAGCACGTGATAGTATGTCGCTGCGATTAAGGTATAAGGTATGATTAAGGATCCTATCTTGGGCTCTCTCAGAATACCCCTAGAGGAAGCTGTGTGGCATCACTAGCAGCCCTAGGTGGGGCTCACATGACAAGGAACTGAAGCTCCCTGCAAACAACTCTAAGTGATCCTGGAAGTACATCTTTCAGCCCCAGTCCAAAGACTGCAGCACAGACTTCTGACCCTCAGAAATTCTGAGACTCTTCATTTTTTTAAGCTGTTAAGTTGTGGGCTGATTGGTTACACAGCGATAGATAACAAATACAATATACTGTCCCATAATCTGTTCCCCACCTCTACTGCCATATGCGGAATGTGAAACTGTCCCCAAAGAGGTCAATGCTTAGATGTGAGAAGGTGAGAAATCTTCTAGAATTCCACTAATGTAACTGAACCAAGAGCTGTTGTCTTCAGAACCTTTCAGTTTCCTTTCCAATTTCTTTGCATTTGAAAACTTAAAAGCAGTTTAAGCGGTGTGCAATGACACATTCCTATAACACCAGTGACTCAGGAGGCTGAGGCAGGAAGATCACGAGTTAGAGGCCAGTCTTAATAACTTAACAAAACCGAAAATAAAAACAAAAAGGACTGAGGGTATAGCTCAGTGGTAGGGCACCCCTGGGTTCAATCCCCAGTACCAAAATAAACAAAAGCATAGTTTGAGCACTTCCAAACATACATGGGTTCCCCAGTGACAGACCTATCTGGATCTTCCTGCATCCTCCAGAGACAAGGGCAGGGGGAAAATGTAGGGTCAAATGCCAGAGGGCAGCCTCTACCCTGGAGGTCATGGCCCCACAGCCCCCACCCTTCTCTTTTCCCTCTTCTGCTCCTTGGTTTAAGTCTAGCACCCACAGGATCTCTAGGGAAATATTCTGGGCTACTCCTTTGACCACTTCCCTTCACACCCCAACCCTAGCTAGCATTCAACACAGGGTGATAGGTTAACTATCTATCTCCATTTTTGATAAGGAGGAAAGAATTATGGCCTTGTCGTTTTTACTTTTTATTTGCCTAGAACCCAGGGTTGACAGCAACCATCCTCAGAGTTGTTATCCCGTCTCCATGGCAGATTCTATAACTGATTCTAGATTCTCTAAGTGGTCCTTACAAGTTTACACTGGATTTCACATTCCTGTTTAAACTCACATGGAAACAACAGAAATAGCCCCCAAACTTTTTTGGTACAGACTTGTATCAAGTTTTAAAAATCAGGTGTGGTATTAAGCATGTGCCCCAGAGAGCCAAACAAAAAGGAACAGGAAAGCAAAACAAAGAACTATGAGCTAGTGGATGATGTTAAATGTTTTCCCAAAGTCTTCGTCCTCCCTCCGACCCCCAATGTGCAGATCCTCCAAGCCAAACTACCCTCCGCCGAAAACTGATTTCCAGTTCACAAAATAGGCAACGATCAACAGCTTCATTGTGATGCTATTGTTTATTAATCAAACTGCAGTTTTAAGTCATTTTCTCATTGTTTTTTGAGTCAGAACCAATTTCCATGGGTCTTCAGAAGGAAATGTGGTTCAGCCTGCAAGCTGCAAAGATCTGATGGAGTCCCCACACATTAGGAAGCTTTTGGGGGGCACTGGACACCGGAGCTAGCTGCTGGAGTTGCGCTGCCCTTGGCGGCGGTGGCCCGCTGGGCGTCACCAAGATAGTGATAGTTTATGTAGCGGCCAGCCTGCACACTCTGTGCCACCACGTTGGTGAAGTGGCACGCCATCAACAACATGTTTCGAGGCTGCACACGGTAGGCGAAGCGCATGAAGGTCATCGAGTACAAGATGAGTGCTGTGGTCATGCGGCCACTGATGAGCTCCGGCGACGCCTTCATGTCCCTCAAGGCGGCCAATGGAAGGCCCCAGTTGGCCACAGGACCCCAGAAGTGGGTGCTGGTTACGTAATCCCGGAACTCCTTAGTCTTCACGTAGTCTTTGGCCTTCTTCAACACCTCTTCCGTCACCCCCATGATCGCCTGGCCGTCGGACCGTCAACGGCTGAACTGGCAGCCCTCAATGACTTGGAGCGTTGAGCCCAGAACACACAGTGCCCCCAACGTGACGTCCTCCAGCGGCCTCGTGCCTTCCCCCATTGCCGTAAAGCGCCTCTGGCCGCACGTGCTGCTATCGCGTGGGGGCGTGGCTTGCCTTTGCGCCTGCGCCTGTCTAAAGTGCATCCGGGCGTCAGGCGCGCAGAACCCCTGTCGTGTTCCTGTCGGGGTGGGCGCGCGTGCCTTCGCCTCGGGAAATAGTGGACCGAGTGTGCCTGTGTCTTTGTCCCCGTGGAAGAGGTGGAGGCGGCTTCGCTCCGCCCTCCCCGCTGTGCTGCGGCCACATTCAGGGCTCCACGTGCAACCCAGGGAGGCGACGGCCCAGCTTCTGCATCTGTGCAGAGGAAACGTTGCCTGCTTTGTCCTTGCTGCTCATAGCGTGCACCATCACCAGCGTACTGGCACACTGTGTGCGGGCTGTCTGCGACCCTATGCCACCATGGTGACGGCTACATGGCGCGGGCCAACGCAACCTGAAATCCCCCAGCTACCAGCTTTGGCCAGGAGGCTGTCGGTGCAAAATTCCTCAAGTAGTTATAGAATTTCACTCCTGGCACAACTGCCCGAGTGTGTTACTTGGAGGCATAGAGACTTTTTTTTTTTTTTTTGGTACCAGGGATTGAACCCTGGGGCATTGAACCACTGAGCCCCATCCACAGCCATTTTTTATATTTTATTTAGAGACAGGGTCTCATTGAGTTGCTCAGGGACCCCCTGAGTTGCCGAGGCTGGTTTTGAACTCAGGATCCTCCTGCTTTGGCCTGCCAAGCTGCTGAGATCACAGGCATGCGCCACCACACCCTGCTCATAGCGACATTCCACCAGTAAATATTTTAGCATGTGCCTCTGAAGAACAAGGAGTTTCGCCTACTTAACCACAACACAATAATCCACTCAGATAATTAACATTTAGTACAGCACTATTATCTAATATGCAGTGCATATTTAAATCTTATAGTGTTACGGGGTTTTTTTTCCCCTTGTCGGAGGGGGAAGATTCAAGATCTAATCAAAGTTCACATTTCCTTAACTCTTTCAGTTAATCCATCATTTTAGAAGAGCTCCCTAGCTTGTTTTGCCTTTTGCAACATTGACATTTTTGAAGAGTCCAAGTCAGTGGTTTTTAAGAATGTCCCTAGGCTTTTATTTCTCTCTCTCTCTCTCTCTCTCTCTCTCATATATATATATCTTCTCCCCGTTCTTCCTCCCTTCACTTTTGCTTGGCTGTTTTCTTTGCACTCCTCCTGCTTATGGTGGGGGACTATGCAGTGTGCTCCCTCCCTCCCTCCTTCCTTCTTTCCTTCTCTTTTTCTTCTTCCTGTTGTCAAAAGCTCAGTCCTTGTCCCCTATGCCAGTCCAATAACGAGGTTTTGAGAAAAAGGAGGTTTATTGTTTGCTAGCAAAGGAGAAACACAGGGGGCTTCCGTCCCAGAGGCTATGATTCTGCCCAATAGCAGGAAGTGGGGGATTTTAAAAAGGTGATTCCGTTTTTTTGTTTGTTTTTTGTGCGGTGCTGGGGATGAACCCAGGGCCTTATGCATGGGAGGCAAGCACTCTACCAACTGACCTAAAGAGGCGATTCGAAGGATGTATTCTACATGTTCTCTGTTGAGTTGTAATTCACTTATTAATTTGGGAGATAGTCCTTTCTGAGATCATCTGGTACCATCCCTAAAGTCTAGATTATTTCCTTCCTATGGTGGGGACAGATAACTCTTGTCTAAGATGGGTAAGAAAGGTAATCCTGTTTCCCCTGAGATTACAGAGGGGGAGAGATTAGGGAGGGGCGGAGAGAGGAAAAGAAAGAAACATGTTCGTTTTAAAAATAAGTTGCAGAAGCAGAACAGCAAGGGCTGCATTCACAGCATAAAGCGGACCATGTTACATTCCTTTCTTTCTTTTTTTAAATTTTGCACTGGGGATCGAATCCAGGGGTGCCTGACCACTGAGTTACAACCCCAGCCCTCTTCTTTTTTTGTTTATGTATTTATGTATGTGTATATGTATGTATGAATTTATTTATTGGTATTGGGGACTGAACCCAGGGGCACTCAACCACTGAGCACATCCCCAGCCCTTTTTACGTTTTATTTAAGGACACGGTCCCACCAAGTTGCTGAGGCTGGCCTTGAACTCCTGCCTCAGCCTCCCTAACTGCTGGGATTATAGGCATGCACCACCACACCTGGCTTTTTATTTATTTTGAGACAGGGTGTCCCTAAATTGCTGATGCTGGCATCGAACTTGTGATCCTCCTGTCTCAGCCTGGGATTACAAGACATTCGGCTCTCCTTCCTTCTTCAAACAGTGGTGGCACGTCATGATATGTGACAGGGTTGGAGAATTGGAACGGTTTTCTCCTACACGGTTATCAAACCTGCAGTAGGACACATCCATCCATCCCACAGTAGCGGATCTCTAAAGGATCTTCAAGGAAAAGACGGAACAGAAGGAGTCTCAGAGGCTCTTCCCATGGGTTCACACCTCTCTTTCTTCCACTCTTTCGGAAATGAAAATCCAAAGTTTAAATAAGTTAATAACAAACAATAAAACAAATTTGAGGGGAAAAAAAATGTCCCAAGGCCAGGTATGGTGGCACATGCCTGTATTCCCAGAGGCTCAGGAGGCTGAGGTAGGAGGATCACGAGTTCAAGGCTAGCCTCAGCAATTTAGCAAGACTCTAAGCAACTCAGTGAGACCCTGTCTCTAAATACAAAAAGGGCTGGGGATGTGGCTCCATGGTTAGCACTCCTAGGTTCAATCCCCAGTACCAAAAAAAAAAAAAAAAAAAAATGTCCTTAATATGGATTTGTGTATTTTCTCACAATTAGTTTGAGGCTAAGCATTTTTTGTCAAAAATAACTCCACAGGTGACGTGTCTTTAGTGTGCCACAGTGGGAGGCGCCTTATACCATATTGTTTCATCATTGATGGCAAATTTGATATGTGGTTGAGGTGTCTGGCAGGGTTCTCCAAGGTAGAGGTTACTTATCCTCTCAGTACTCAACAAATAATGCAAAGGGGGGGAGGGCGGCTGCTTTGAGAGTGTATGGATATTATATTCTCCGAATCTTTGTATCTAATAGTTTTAATATCTGTTGATGAAAATTCTTTAATGACAAAATTAGAGATCATTTTCTCAGTGTTTTCTTTTTCCCATAAAAATAGCAACTGTTGAAAAGTAATTGAATATGCATTGAAATATTAATACTTTAGTGATTACAAACAAGTCTTTTGTATCTTTGAAAATTAGTATTCATTTGGTGTTCATTTACATTCCAAATATTTACAAATGCAGCTTAAAATATATAATATAAAGTGATACAATTTTTTTTTTAATTTTTTTTTATTGGTTGTTAAAAACATTATAAAGCTCTTGACATATCATATTTCATACATTAGATTCAAGTTGGTTATGAACTCCCAATTTTACCCCAAATACAGATTGCAGAATCACATCGGTTACACATCCACATTTTTACATAATACCCTATTAGTAACTGTTGTATTCTGCTACCTTTCCTATCCTCTACCATCCCCCCTCCCTCCCCTCCCATCTTCTCTCTCTACCCCATCCACTGTAATTCATATCTCTCCTTGTTTATTTTCCCATGGGCTTCCAGATATGGATGACTGGCATTCTGGTCTAAATCAGTTCAGTGTAAGTTTAAATTAATAAATTAGCAAGCCTAAGTCTGGTGTCTGGGCATACACCTGTACCAACAACTCAGGAAGCTGAGGCAGGAGGATCACAAGTTTGAGGCCACCCCAAGCAACTTAGTGAGAGCCTATCTCAAATAAAAAGGGCTGGGGATGTGGCTTGGTGGTCAACCACTGTTGGGTTCAATCCCCAATACTAAAAAATAAAGTGTGTATTGAATGACTTTTTTATTTTAATTTTTTATTTCTTTGATACTAAGGATTAAACCCAAAGTACTTTATCACTAAGCTACATCCCCAGTCTTTTTTATCTTGAGACAGGTGTTGCTAAATTGCCGAGGCTGGCTTGTGATCCTCTTGCCTCAGCCTCTGGAGTTGCTGGGTTTACAGGCATGCACTATTATGCTCTGCTTTGAATGACATTTTAGGCCAGTACTGTCAGATGATTCAGTATTCTAAAAAAAGTCTAAGCTATTATTCTTTGTACAAGAAGCTTCTGGTACTTGTAGATCATATCACATAGGTTGTCACTTGATTTTGATTACCTATGGTTAGGTAACAAATCCCCCCAAAACTTACTGGATGAGAACTACAACAATCCTTTATTTGGCAATAAATTTGCGATTTGGGCAGGACTTAATGGGGACAGCTCATCTACTCCATGCATCCCTTGCACAGCATGGTTCATCTTGGGGCTTGGAGGATCCACTTTCAAAATGGCTCACTCAGCTGGTGTGGTGGTGCACACCTGTAATCCCAGCAGCTCAGGAAGCTGAGGCAGGAGGATTGAGAGTTCAGAGCCAGCCTCAGCAACTTAGTGAGCCCCTAAGCAACTTAGCAAGACCCTATCTCTAAATACAATACAAAAAAATGGCTGGGGATATGGCTCAGTTATTAAGTACCCCTGGGTTCAATCCTCAGTACCAAATAAAGAAAAAAGAAAAAAAAAAAAAAAAAAGGGCTCATTCATGGCTGGCCGAGTGATGCTGGTTGTTGGCTGGGAGCTCAGCTGGGGCTGTTCTAGGGTGAGGAGGCCTATTTTCCACATGGGCTACTCCACAGGCTGCTTGGACTTCCTCACAGCACGGTGGCTGACCTTTAAGAGCAAACATAAAAGAATCAAGTATAGCTGGGGATATAGCTCAGTAGCAAAGTGAAGCCATGCACAAGACCCTGGGCTCAATTCCCACTACCGCCAAAAAGAAAAATGAATGAAGAAAAAAGAAAAAAGAACGAAGCGGAAGCTGTGTGGTAGGCAGAATTCTAAGAGGACCCCAGCAATCCTCACCCTTGTATCATCTCCCCTTGAGTGTGAATTTCCTAGGAATATCATTAACTATTACTCCCATCACTATATGACACAGGGATTTTGTAGATGTAGCTGAGGTCTCACCTGGATTGACCTTAACACAGGGAGATTGTCCAAGGGGACCTATCTACTCACATGAGCTCTTTCAATCAGGGTTGTTTGAGTCACCTTTTTTGCTGCTGTGAGTAAAAGACCCGACAAGAACAATTTTAGAGGAGGAAAAGTTTATTTGAGGACTCACAGTTTTGGAGTCTCAGTCCATAGACGGCCAGCTCCATTCCTCAGGGTTCCAAGTGAGGCAGAGGGAAGCAGCTCACATGGTGATCAGGAAGCAGAGAGAGACTCCACCCTCCAGATACAAATATACACCCAAAGCCACGCCCCCAATGACCCCCCTCCTCCAGCCACACCCCCCTTGCCTCATCACTCATCCCATCGGGGATTAACTCACTGATTGAGTTAAGGCCCTCCTAACCCAGTCAGTTCTCCTCTAAAGCTTGTCTCGCACATGAGCTTTTGGAGGACATAATATCAAAACCATACAAGGGTCTAGAGATCAGAGACAGGAAGTCAGAGAGTCTAAGCATAGAGGCTTGGATGTGAGAGATCCTCTGCAGCTGGCTCTGAAGGTGGGGTAGCCACATGACCTGGAAGGCAGGTGGCCCCCAGCTGAAGACCAGCAGGGAAGCAGAGAGCTCAGTCTTAGGAGCATAACGAACAGAATTCTGCTAACAGTGTGAATGAACTTGGAAGCAGAATTGCTCTTTGCCCTCCAAGAACTCAGTCTTCCTTTCAGCCTTTTGAGACCCTGAGCAGAGAATCCAGCTATGCCGTGTCCAGAATTCTGGCCACAGAACCATGAGCTGATAACTGAGTGTTTTTTTTAAGCCACTAAATTTGTAGTAATTGGTTTGCAGCAATAGAAAACTAATATAAGCCGTATGGGTTTTTATGGACCTAGCCTGAGAAATCATGCAATATCACTTTCTCTGTAGTCACAGAGGCACCCAAATTCAACAGGAGGGGACAGAGACTCACCTCTCAAAGGCAGGAGTATCAAAGTCACAGTCAAAGAAGAGTGTATGAGATGTGAAATATTATGGTGGCCACTTCTGGAAAAATACAGTGTACCACATTACTTGAAATTACCTAATGCTAGACCTGGAGTTGAAAGGATCTCACGGGTTATCTGTAAAAGGAGAATGACAGTGTCACCTGCCTCGGATTGTTGTGATGTTTCAGTGTGTTAATCCACAGTGACACTCGGAGTAGGCTGGGCAGGTACTAAGTGCTCAGTGAATTTTACTAGTTGTTATTTTTTTTAATTTAACCTTTATTTTTCATTCATTTATTTTTAATGTAGTGCTGAGGATGAAACCCAGTGCCAGTGCTTCCCCATGCTAGTCAGTCACTTGGCTGTTGAGCTACAACCCCAGCCCTTGACCTGTTGTTGTTGTTGTTATTATTATTGGTAGCAGGGATTGAACTCAGGGGCACTTAACCACTGAGCCACATCCCCAGCCCTATTTTGTATTTGATTTAGAGACAGGGTCTCACTGAGTTGCTTAGCACCTTGCTTTTGCTGAGGCTGGCCTTGAATTTGAAATCCTCCTGCCTCAGCCTCCTGAGCCACTGGGATTACAGGCATGTGCCACTTGATGTGTTATTATTATTATCATCCATTCCAGCCTCTCATTTTACAAAGAAGGCCTGAGGCCTTAAGAGGTCATGTCATTTGCCATGGCAACACAATGAATATATGGGAAAATAGGATTAAGGTTTCCTATTTCTTGTATCTTCTGCACAGATCACTGTCAGTTCTGATAAGTTTTTGTCACTCTATGTCATAAGTTCCTTTAGGCCAGGGAAAGAATGGTACACACCTGTAATCCCAGCTACTCGAGAGGCTAAGGCAAGAGAAATGGCAAGTTCAAGGGCAGCCTGGGCAACTTAACAAGACCCTATCTCAAAACAAAAGGACTAGGGACGTATCTCAGTAGTAGAGTGTCCCTGGTTCAATCCCCAGTACTGCCTACACACACACACACACACACACACACACACATACTCACAAGTTTGTGTACCCATCCTCTCCTCCAGTTGAAGTCACTGTGTTCTGTTAGCTTAAGGGTCAGCTAAGAGGATTGTGAATGTAGCTTAGTGGTAGGGTGTGTACTTGGCCTGTGTGAGGCCTTGGGTTTAATCCTTGGCACTTCCCTGACCCCCACCAAAAAAAAAAAAAAAAGAAAGAAAAAGAAATATTTCTTCTCCCCACAAGCCTTTCCAATGTGTTGACTAGATGTGGCCCTTGTTCTGCCTATTCTGAAGGGCATCTTGGAGCTAGAGAAATGGAAGCACGAAGGAGCTTGCTTTACTGGTAGATGTTGGCTCTGTTGCCCCCATAGCCATGGCTGTGCATCCATGGGGCCAGCCAACCAGGGATTGAAGATGGTTGGAGAAAAACTTCATCCATACAGAACATGCACAGACTTTTTCTTGTGATTATTCCCTAAACAGTACCGTAGAACAACTATGTACATACCATTTACATTGTATTAGGCATTTTTTATTGGTTTGTTTTAGTTATGTAACAGTAGAATCCATTTTGACTAAAACCAGACCAGCACAATTTCAGGGGAGGAATAGTTTATTTGGGGGCTCAGTGTCAGAGGTCTCAGTCCATAGACAGCTGGCTCCATTCCTCAGGGCTCAAGAAAGGCTGAACATCATAGCAGAAGAAGGTGGTGGAGGGAAGGAGCTCATGTGATGATCAGGAAGCAGAGAGAGACTCCACTCTCCAGACACAAAATATACACCCTGGTGTGTGAGGACGCACTTGCGTGAGGAATTCCTGCCACCTTCTGTGCTTGTTCCTCTCCCGCTCAGCCGCGCAGGTTGAATTGACCAAAGTAACGGTTATGGAGAAGCCTAGTCCCCTGCTGGTTGGGCGGGAGTTAGTGAGACAGTATTACACACTGCTGAAGCCCCAGACATGCTACCTAGATTTTATGGAAAGAGCTCTTCCTATGTGCATGGGGGATTGGATTCAAATGGAAAGCCAGCAGATGCACTCTATGGACAGAAAGAAATTTACAGGAAAGTGATGTCACAAAACTACACCAACTGCCACACTAAGATTTGCCATGTTGATGCTCATGCTACTCTAAATGATGGTGTGGTGATCCAGGTGATGGGACTCTTATCAAACAACAACCAGGCTTTGCGGAGATTCATGCAAACATTTGTCCTTGCCCCGGAGGGCTCTGTTGCAAATAAATTCTGTGTTCATAATGATATCTTCAGATACCAAGATGAGGTCTTTGGTGGCTTTGTCACTGAGCCTCAGGAGTCTGAGGAAGAAGTAGAGGAGCCTGAAGAAAGACAGCAGACACCTGAGGTGGTACCTGATGATTCTGGAACTTTCTATGATCAGGCTGTCAGCAGTGACTTGGAAAAACATTCAGAGGAGCCTGTTGCTGAACCAGAGCCTGATCCTGAACCAGAACCAGAGCCAGAACCCGTATCTGAAATCCAAGAGGAAAAAATCTGGGCTCCTGAGGATGCTCAGAAGAGTTCTTGTCCAGCACCTCCAGATATAGCTCAGACAGTACAGGGAGACTTGAGGACATTTTCTTGGGCATCTGTGACCAGTAAGAACCTTCCCCCCAGTGGAGCTGTTCCTGTTACTGGAATACCACCTCCTGTTGTTAAAGTACCAGCTTCACAGCCCCGGGCCGAGTCTAAGCCTGAATCTCAGATTCCACCACAGAGGCCTCAATGAGTCCGAGAGCAACGAATAAACATTCCTCCTCAGAGGGGACCCAGACCAATCCGTGAGGCTGGTGAGCAAAGTGATATTGAGCCCCGAAGAATTGTGAGACATCCTGATAGTCACCAAGTCTTCATTGGCAACCTGCCTCATGAAGTGGACAAATCAGAACTTAAAGATTTCTTTCAAAACTATGGGAACGTGGTGGAGCTGCACATAAACAGTGGTGGAAAATTACCCAATTTTGGTTTTGTTGTATTTGATGATTCTGAGCCTGTTCAGAAGGTCCTTAGCAACAGGTCAGTCGTGTTCAGAGGTGAAGTCAACTGAATGTGGAAGACAAGAAGACTGGAGCTGCTTGGGACAGGGACCTGGAGGCCCTGGAGGTGGCCTGGGCTGTGGAATGAGAGGCCCTCCCCATGGAGGCAGGGCGCAGAAACCAGGGTCTGGAATGGGAAGGGGGATTGCTCCACGCAGTGAATTGCTCTTCACTGATCTTCATGAACCATAAAAACCCCAGCTTCTGCAGAAGGGTGAATTTCTTCAACCAGCCTTATAAACTGCTTAAGTTTGTGCAGTTTTACTTCTTTTTGTGTTAATGGTGTGTGCTCCCTCCCTTTTCCCTTCTCCTGGCCTTTTAGTCCTTCACTTCCAGTCTTGTGGAACGCTATTTTAGGAGTAACGAATTTTTAAAGAAGAAAAAACGAAAAGACTGAATTTCCTTGCTTGCTTTGCATATACAGACTGGAATTAAAAAAAAAAAAAAGCCATTTCCCCCAAAGGAATGTGTCTTGCTTATTACTGACATTTGGTATGTTTCATTCATTGGAATATTTCTTACTTATTTTCTACGTGTTTCAAAGCCTGCGAGGAATGAGGATTTGATAAGCACTTTGGAGGCAGGAAAAATCCAAATTGTTTATTTTTTGAAACTTACGATTACCTTCTGATGTGGAAAAATTGCCATTGGAAAATTTGACATTTGATTTCTCCCTGATGTGGTTAAAAACTGAATGAAAGGTGTTAATAGAACTTTTTCCTTTTGATATGTGATCACAAAATAATTCTAAAACCTACTGTTTTTACCATTGAAATTTAAACTGTGAGATAGGTTTTAAGTGTCTAGAATGCAATTAATAGGCTTTTCTTGAACTGTTAGATTCTTTTGAAGTAGAGTTTTTTCATATTTCATTTGTATTTGTTTAAAAAAAAAAAGAAGAAAAATCCCCCTAACCAAATAACAACCAGGGCAAAAACTGTTGTGCCTTCTATTTATCTTTGGTTTCAATCTTGGCAGTTGTTTAAAGAAAAAATAATAAAAAGAATTAGAAAAAAATTATACACCCCAGATCCACACCCACCAATGCCCACCTCCTGCAGCCACACCCCACCCCTCTTCAGTGACCACTCAGTTCATCCCATCAGGGGATTGGTTCATGGATTGGGTTAAGGCTCTCATAACCCAATCATTTTTTCTCTGAACCTTTTCTCTTACTTTTTTTCTTTTTAGTTGTAGATAGACACAATACCTTTATTTTATGTATTTACTTTTATGTGGTGCTGAGGATCGGCCCCAGCACCTCCCCCATGCCGGGGGTGAGTGCTCTACCACTGAGCCCCAATTCCAGCACCTTCGGAACCTTCTTGCTTTGTCTCACACGTTAGCTTTTGGGGTACACCTCACATCCAAACCATAAGAGACATAATTGTACGAGCATGGAATATATTATTTAATTCAGACCCCAGCACCTCTCTTTCCTCTTCCCCTTCCCCATGCTCTCTTCCCTCTATTGATCTTTTTCCCATTTACCTATAGTTATTTTTAAATTTAATTTCCTACGGATGCACATGATGGTGAGATTCACTGTGCTGTATTTATATATGAACAGAGGAAAGTTCTGTCAGATTCATTCTCCTGTCTTTCCTATTCCCACCCCTCCCTTCCCTTCATTCCCCTTTGTCTACTCCACTGAACTTCTGTTCTCTCCCCCGACACTGCCGTATTATGTGTCAGCATCCATGCATCTGCATATCAGAGAAAACATTTGGCCTTTGGTTTTTGAGGAGCTCACTTAGCATGATAGTCCCTAGATCCATCCATTTATTGGCACATGTCATAATTTCATTCTTTATGGCTGAGTATGTGTGTGTGTGTGTGTGTGTGTGTGTGTGTGTGTGACACACACACACACACACACACCACATTTTCTTTATCCATTCATCTGCTGAAGGGCACCTAGGTTGTTTCCATAGCTTAGCTATTGTGAATTGTGCTGCTATAAATACGGATGTGGCTATGTCATTATAGTATATGAGGTATTATGTCATCTAAACATGATTTACAGGATAGAGGATGAGCCAGGCCCAGTGGTACACATCTGTTATCCCAGAAACTTGGGAGGCTAGGGAAAGAGGATCATAAGTTCAAGGCTAGCTTCAGCAACTTAGCGAGACCTTGTCCCCAATTTTTAAAAAAAATTAAAAATATATATGGAATGATGCGTGTGCAGGTTCTATGCAAATATGATGCCATTTTACATGAGGGTCTTGAGTATACACAGAGTTTAATATCCATGGGGGGTCCTGGAACCAATCCTTGGACACCAGGGTGCAACTGTGTAGCCTTTGTATAGAGTTTGTGCCTTGTGAGAGTTTTTGATTGTGCAGTTATGATGAAGGGGCAGACTTATTCTGGGAAGGGAAGGTAAAGCATAATGGAACCTGGCCAGCAGTTGAAGGAAGACAGAGAAGCAATGGAGTGTCCAAGGTGAGCTGAGAAGGGTGCAGAGGTAGGAATGAACCAAACTATCACGGACTTTACCTGTCTGAACTAAAGGTAGGGAGTGACAGAACAGTTTTAGGCTTAGAGAACAGCAGTAATGCTGTCCTAATTGTCCCTCCCCGCAGATGGATCAGCCTGCCGTGTGTTTCTCCCTCTTTAGTAGATGAGACGAAACAGGTAGGGATTTATCATTATTTTCAATAATATTACTTTACCATTGATCTTATTGGAAGTGGCATTTTTACTCTTTGTGCTGCCTTTTAAACGTGAACCCCGCTGTGTGACTCAACTATGAGATACGAACATGAACATGGCTGTCAAGTTCATTATCATCCTTAAAAGGAAAAAGATGGGAGAAGACAAGCAAATACAAAGATAGATTCATACCTTTTCCTAGTCTTGACAATGTATCATCACATATTTTCTTCCTGTTGGACATGAACAATCCTGGGCCTACATGATTCTGCAGTGAGTTCCAGTGCACAGTGGACCAGAGAGATTACATTTTGTGAACTATGCCTCCAATCCCAAGAGATTGCATTTTAACTGTTCTTTATTTTTTTATTTTTATTTTTTAGTTGTTGATGGACCTTTATTTTATTTATTTTTATGTGGTGCTGAGGATCAAACCCAGTGCCTCACACATGCCAGGCAAATGCGCTACCACTGAGCCCCAGCCCCTTAATTGTTCTTTTAAACTTTTTTTGTGTGCAAGGGTGTGGTGCTGGGGATTGAACCCAGGGCCTTGTGCTTGCATGGCAAGCACTCTACCAACTGAGCTATAGCCCCAGCCCTAAACTTTTTTAGAAAAACCATATTTTTAGTTGTAGATGGACATAATACCTTTATTTAATTTATTTATTTTTATGTCGTGCTGAGGATAGAAGCCAGGGCCTCACATGTGCTAGGTGAGTGCTCTACCACTGAGCCACAACCTCAGCCCTCTTTTAAACTTTTTATTGTGAAATAATTTCAGACTGGGGCAATAGTTGGAATAGTCTAAAACAAAGCAAGAAATGTTCTCCAAAAACCTCTCATATACTCTTCACCTAGGTTCACCAGCCATTAACATTTTGCTACATTCTCTTTGGTTCCCCTGTATCCATAAGGATATTTCTTTCAAAATTCAGCATGTTAGCTGAGTGCAATGGTACATGCCTATAATCCCAGCGGTTTTGGAGACTGAGGCAGGAGGACTGTGAGTTCAAAACCAGCCTCAGAAACTTAGTGAGGCCCTAAATAACTCAGTGAGACCCTGTCTCAAAATAAAATACAAAAAAGGGCTAGGGATGTGGCTCAGTGGTTAAGTGCCCCTGGATTCACTCCCTAATACCAAAAAAAGAAAAAGAAAAAAGAAAATAAAACATCAGCGTGTATTTCCTAAGAAATAGACATTCACAGATTTCTTTTATATTTCCACAATATGCCCATCAGAATCAAGACATTTACTGTTGATATAGTACTACCATCTTCAATCCACAAATTTTGCCAGTTGACCCAATATTGTTTTTCTAGTTCAGGATCCAGAGTGGATCACACAAGACATTGTAATGCCTCTTTAGTCTCCTTTAATATGGAACACTTCCTCTTCCTTTCTTTGATTTGTGACATTGTGACATTTTCTTCCAGACTGCAATTTGAAAGAATGTCCCTCAACTCGGGATCATTTGGTGTTTCCTGAGGCCTACTTTTCTCATCTCAATGTGTCTCGCCCCAAACTTCATATTTTGGAACCTACCTCCCAAGGTGACAATATTAAGAGGTATGCCGTTATAAAATGTTGAAGGGGCCACTCTAGCCCCTTTTCCCCTGTCTGTCCCTTTTGCCATGTGAGCACACAGCAAGAGGGCGCCATCTAGGAAGCAGAGACACCTCACCAAACTGCAAACTTGACAGTGCCTTGATCTTGGACTTCTCAGCCTCCAGAACCATGAGGGATGCATTTCTGTTGCTTATAAATTGCTGAGTTTAAGTATTTTATGATAGCATCCCAAGTGGACTGGGACCCTACCTTCGGGGTGTTCACTTTGGACAGCCAGGCCATGGGAAGTGACCATGTATTCTGAGGGCAGGAAGCCCGAGATGTCTGTCTGTCTGCTTATTATTCAGATGTTAAAATGGTGTTTAGCAGCTTTCTCCGTGGTAAATTCAGTGTTTCCCCCTTTACCATTAATAAGTGATCTGTGGGGAGATAACTTGGAGACTGTTAAAATGCCAATTTTCTCATCCAACATCTAACCCACGAGTTGTAAAAGTCATTGATGATTCTTGCCTGAATCAAGTTATTACTCTAATGATAACAGCATTTCACTTTTTATAAAAAAAAAAAAAAATGATTTCCTGTCTTGTGGTTTTTAAGACCATAAAAATCAGAAATGTATTTCCTTGGGTTTTCTCGGGAACCCTGGCCAGCCTTTCCAAAAACGCGTTCCGAATCATGGCTGGGAGGACAGAGCGCAAGGGTTTCAGTGTTTTCTGAAACTCTTCTCCTCCGCCACGTGCTCTGCTGATTGCCTCGATGGCTCTGCAGTCCCACCAAAGGAATGAAGCAGCACTGGCCCGAGACAGCTGGATGAGTGACACAGTAGGCGGGTGTACTGGCTCTGCTCTTTTCAGACACTGCTCAGAGTCATTCTGGAGCCATCTGCGGCCCTGACTCCACTCTTTGGTGTTCTCTGCTGTTTTCCTCCGGTGAGTGCGGTGAGTGGTGAGGGCCAAGGCCGGGGGCT